GTTGATAAAAACTAGGCGCTTCAAATGAAATTACCCAAAGTTAAGTAAGTACGTGGAAACAGAACTACTTCACTACGACAAAATTAAAGAGGTTCTGTATCAGCCGTTGTGTTGTGTGTATGAAAACTTTTGAACACATGAATATGGATCATAAAAGGAGGCTATACGAGTAAGCTTCAATTTGATGTAATTGAAATCTGCCATTGTTATTGTTTTCATCTACACCGTGTAGGTATTGAATGGATATTTTCACCTTAACTTTTTTGCGTCCAAATATGTTTTTAATAAGTTCCTGATAGCAGCTGCGGTGCCTTGGTTATTTAGGCTTCTGCCTGCGCGGCTGCGTTGGTATAAAAATAAGGTTCCGCCCTTTGCCCAAATCAGGAGTAATGATGTATGTTGACCTTGCAGTACTGCTAGATAAAATAAGTCAGATCTTGCTAACGTTTATAAGTTATTGAGGAATAGAATTTCATATACTGCTATATTGCGGCAATTGGTAAGAATCGATAAGCTTTTTTGTTTGAATTCGTTCTTTGAGTCACCTCAAGATGACCTTCAAATACCTTCTAGAGACAACGTGATCTCTGATTTGGGCTCAACGACTGCAAAGACATACAACTCGCGTCTGTACTAGAATGCTACACTTATTTTGAGCTTAGCCTTAAACAGACCTTGACATGACCTTTAAATGCACTCATAGTAACTAACTGACCTCTAATTCGAACTCAGTGACCAGAACAACCTCAGTGATATGTGCTGGTCCTCAACTGCTTGGCTCTTTTAAAAAATATCATGACCTTGAAGTGAACTGTTCTCATAGAGACAAACTAACAACGGTCTTGAAATCAGTGATTGAAACCTTGCTGTACGGGGTATTTTATACCGCATCAGCTAGCAAGCCTAAATATCAGAGCACCGCGGCTGCAATGAGAAGCTTGAAGAAGCTTTGTTAAACCGATTTAGTAGAAATAGTAAAAGACTCCTGAGGGCTAGATCGACTTATTGTACAAAATGAGGAGGTTATCTAGAGAAAGTTTTCTTAGCCCTCAACAAGTAGGCTAGCTTTTAACGCCTGACGCTATTGTATTGTTAATCAAGCTACAGCACTGTGGAAGCATTGAACTGTACCCGACTGTTGCCCCCAAGTAGTGAAAAGCTATAGGTCTCTCGTCAGAGAGGAATTCGCTGCTAGTCTTCTCTTCTTCAGCTCACTGGCAGACGTCATCTTGTCACTCTGAACTCCTGCATATAGGGTGCTGTTATCAGCAAAGTTGAGGATCGGATTGATCGTACAGGAAAGGAGGTCGTTGATAGTGTAAGAGGAACTGTGTCGGAAAAAAGACCGATCTCTGGAGAAAACCCACGTTCACATTGTGGGATTAAGTGGAGAACCCGTCAATTACGACGGAGATCTTACGGCCAGAGCAGAGGTCAGCCACCTACAAAACTTTTCTAGGAGGTAATAGGATGGAAGTTCGTATAAGAGGGCAAAATTCATATCGCATAAATTCCATAGAAATTGTACATTTTGCCAACCTTTTGTTATTTTCGACAACTGTGCATTTAAATCAGACGAAGGTTCTGTCTATAAATAAATATACTAAGTGACATATAAATCCGAACACCCAGTTTAAATGGTTTTATTTTAATAAAATTTTGTACAAGTACTTAATGAAGCATAATAAGTAAATGATAAAAATTTCAAAATGATTGCACTGCTTTTAAGCCCTTTGACCTTTAATAATGTGTGGATGCACCCTGTTGTGCTACGCATTATCCAACGCGCCTAGGCATGCTTCTGATCAGGTGGTCAATGTCCTCCTGTGGTATCTCATTCCAGGCAACCACCAACTCCTCTCGAAGTGCTTCTAGAGTCTGAGGAGGACGTTGCAAATTGAGCAATCTCCTACCCATCATATCCCACACGTGCTCAATTGGGGATAAGTCGGAAGATCTTGGTGACCATGGTAACAATGTGACATCATTATGTTGAAAGAAGTCTATTGTGACTCTTGCAACATGTGGTCGGGCATTATCTTGTTGGAAAGTTGGATCTGCCAGGGTGTCAAGATAGGGTAAAAGATGGGGTTCTAGAACTTCGTGGATATAACGCTGCGCATTCATGTTACCTCTGATGAAGATTAAAGGTGACCTGGAACCATAAGCTATAGCACCCCAAACCATAACTCCAACAGTTTGATGAACATGTCTTTCAACAAAAAACTGTGGATTCCTCCTTTCACCACGTCGCCTTCTAACCCTGGCACGACCATCGTGCATGCCTAAACAAAATCGAGACTCGTCACTAAAGACAATACTGTTCCATTCCTGATCCCAGAGTGACCGTTGTCTGCACCACTCAAGGCGATTACGTCGGTGTTCTCGAGTTAAAAGGAGGACCCAGTGTGGCCGGTATGAAAACAAGCCAAAACTTCTCATTCGTCGGTAAACACTTCGCATGCCAATAGGTCTTCCGTGTTCTGCAAACCATTGATTTGCAATGGACCTGGTAGTGGAGAAACGGTCTCTTAAGGCCAATAATCTTAGGCGGCGATCTTTACGGTCTGTTGTTCTATGGCGGCGTCCAGTGCCCTTTGCTCTTTGCGTACGGCCTTCTCGAAGCCATGCCTGACAACACCTAACCACAGTGTCTACACTTCTTTGTACACTAAGATAAATACATTCACCAACTTTTATTGAAATAAAACCATTTAAACTGGGTGTTCGGATGTATATGTCACTTAGTATAATTCGGTAAGAACTACTATAGTTCCCCTTGTATACCCGTTCAATTCCCATATAACTCCGCAGATATATTCCCAATCAGCAAGCCACACAATCAAGTTAACGTCATTTCGACGCAATTGCGTCATCAACAACCTCTTCATTCCTCGAACCACTACACACAATGTAAATAATCTAACATCTGTACGCCAAACGTAGTTTATAGTTAGTGTTTATCTCTGTCGCTTTCTGCAACTTTGTCTTGTTTACATTATGAGTATAGAATTTCCTGCTCGCAGTATGAACACAATTTTAGTTTCAACTTTGTGTAATAGCTGAGAAATCCTTGGGTATTTTAGTAGCCTCCGCTGACGTTACAATTACCTCAAGGATACATTAAATAATAGTGATTTTAGTAACTGCAGTTGTAGCTAGCTGCAGAATGGTAGGAAAGCTAAATTGCAATGCATTGTTAGTACGCGGAATGCTTTGTGCCCTAATAATACTCGTACAATACATAACATCAGTAGTAACATATGCAGAATGTCCGGTAAATACGAAAAAAAATAGAGACGATAGGCGAAGGGCTGATCTACAACATACCAAAAAATGACCCTAGTAAAAGTTTGACTGTTTCTGAGATACATATTAATATTTTTGTCTCTCTCTTTTTTTAACTTTTTTTAATCTATATTTGCTTTCTGTGCCTAGAAATGACAGGATATCTGTTTGGTTTTTTGCAAAATATTCTCAGAGACTTGGTCTGGCATTTGAAATATCATTTTCGATAAATACAACTAGGTAAACTTGACAAACTAATTTCTTCTTCGTCATTTTTATTTTAGAAAACTATTTTACTCAACTTTGTTATTCAGTAACGAAATAAAAATGTACTAGACTGCTACTGCTTAGCACTACTATAAATTACCCGCGTAATTAGCATCAAAGGATAGACCTAACGAGGAAAATTTTCGAAAAAGACAAAGAAAAATTAATATCTCAAAAACGGTGAATCTTTTACTAGGGTGATTTTTTGGTATGTTGTTGCCTTTCGCCTATCTGCCCCATTTTTATGTCGAACTATTTAGAAAAGACTTCCATGTCTGGCTGGGAGTGAATTCCCCCACCTCCAACACGTGGATCCAGTCATGCTGCAAGTTTGAAAATTTGTGCACGCAAGAGCGCGGAAAGTCCAAAAACAATTTTGCTGAAACATTCTTGGTATTCTTTTTTACTTTGATATCATTTTTACAAATTTTTTCAGAATGATGTGTCAGCAAACGTATCCTTTGATCTATGATAAATTTTACTTATAACTTTGTTGCAGAATTTATCCAGTGCTTTTCCCCCTACTTATTTCTTTTAACAGATCAAGTAAGAAAGCTGAAATTGAATACTAGGTTTTAGAGTAAAAGTAGCAGTTTAAAATTTCAAGATGGCGGCTGGTCGCCATTCTGGAATATTTTTTTGAATGAAATGAGAGGTCGGATGATATCTCAGTTGAAGTTCCATATGAGTGCTTCACAACTTTGACATATAAAATCACTATTTTCTAAAATTTGCGAAGGTTGATCGTTTTTGTACATTTGTTTATAACAAAAACAAAATATCTACTCAAACTATTTAGACCCCCAAATTTGAAATTTTCAGTTGAAAAATTAGCGTTGAAACGAGAATACTTTGTTAGTTACACGGTGTTTCAGGATTCAATGCACGAATTTTACGAGGATCCTCAAATACGTTTTTTCCAAAATGCATCCTCCTTAAATAAGTCGATGCAAATAATTTATTTCTGCTTCCGGAAATTCTCATTTATACCTTTATTCCATGTTCAACCATACTAGAAATAAAGGATGAAGTTAGATAGGTTTCGGAGATATAGTTTTCTCACTGTTTCTCCGAAATTAAGTTGTCCTTCTAAAATCCACAAATGACATTATACATCACCTTGTATAGTATATTAGTATATTTAAAATATGCTTCGTTTGGGCAATATCTCAAAACAGAAAAAAATCGCTCGTCTTGGATAACAAGGAATCTTTAATGCAGTAATATTTCTTTTTCAAATTGACCTTGCATTTTTAACTACTTGAACTGACAACTCTAAATCAAAGTTTCAATCTGCACATCTGATTGTTGCAATACCCGCATTGTCTAACTCAATATTTTTTTTTATTGTATCATACTTTTCTCAAGAAGTATAAGTACACCAGTCGTCCAGTAGCAAGGACATAGTCTCACTTGACTGCAAATCAAACACACGTCAACCAAAAATGAAATTCCTAGTGTTCGCCATCTTTGCCTTTTTGGCAGTCTGCTCCGTCATGGCTGACCCTGAACCACGTCCTTCTGGATTGGGAGTTATCGCCCCCGGAGTTCTAGCCGCTCCCGGAGTCATAGCCACCTCTGGAGTTGTTGGAATTGGAGCTGCACCCTTGGCCGTTGCACCTGGATTGGGACTCGCTGGACATGGAGTTATTTTGGGCTGAGGCAAGGATATAGTAGTGTAGTAATTCTTGCTAGATATACGACTGATAAAGTGTCCTTTGTGTAGTCAATAAAAGAGTGCTCAAACATATTTGTTTCCATTTTTAATATTGCCTTTCACGTTTCCATCCGGGGATTTCATGTTACAGTCTGTCGGATTAGGGTACTTGCGTTTAATGGATAGAAACGTTTCAAATTTGTATACATAGTTGTTCAGAAATCTGAAAACCGTCAAACATCTTGGAAGCTAGAGGATGAATTTTAAACAGCGATGCAATTGTTCATTCATCAGATAGTAATAACTGCGATGTTGCCAGGTTTCCCATTTTTCGGAAAAAGCTCTACTGGCCTACTGGCAAGGAAGTATTGTAACAACTTTTTCAATCATACGTTTAAGGAAGAAAGTAATATGTCCGTGTTAATTGTGCAAGAAGCCTAAAAGCCGAGACACCGCGGCTGCTATGATGATCCAAAAGAAATTTTGTTAATCCGATTTTTGAACTGCCTAAGGTTAGTAGAACTGGGAAAATCTTCCTCTTGTAGATTGTTCCACAATCTCGACACCCTCGGGACAAAGGCGCAGTAGTATCGGCCAGTTCTGGATGTACAAAGTTGAACTCGATTAGGATGGGAGACCAAAGTCAGGAGGGTCTGTCCGGCAGGCACATAGCGCGGCGCTATCATGGAACGGAGCTCTGAGGAGCAAAGTCCGTTGGTGTAGCGGTAGAAGAGAGCTAGATCGCCGACGGCCCGCCGGTGCGAAAGTGTCCCGAAGATCGGTCTTTTTTTACTACATGCGAATGACCTCAATGAATACCTGCCAAATGCAATTTCAAGTTGTAAAATTATATCATATGCGGATGATACTAACATCTTTTTCACCATTGAAATTTCTCATAATAGTGAAGCCACTCAAAAATGAAGGGTAAATAATGGCCTTATATTCAATACAGATAAGACCCAATTAAAGAAATCTTCACTAACAGATAACCGGGATTAAAGTATTTTTAATAACCTTTCAACAATTAAAACATCTTTCTTTGTTAAGTTGTTGGGTATTATCGTTGATTGTCATCTAAACTGGGACCCACATGTGGAATATTATCCAAGCTTCAACTGTCACTTGCGCTATGGCATTTTAAGCTGGGGATGCAGGAAATCGATAGATAGATTCTCTTCTCCAGAAATATGTTAGTGAAGAGCTCACACACAAAATATCGGTATTAAACTTAGGAATAATCTTTGATGAGCACTTAACTTTTCATGATCATATTTCTAAGGTTGTACAGAGCTCTTTTGCTAAACTAAAAAGCATCTACAGCTTTAAGCACGTGTTGGCTCAAGATACTAAAATTAAGCTTTGCAATTCACTCATTTTAAGTAAGTTAGAATATGGAAGTTCCGTGTTTGGTCCTTGTTTGACTGAAGCCGAAGCTTACAGACTTCAGAAAGTGCAGAACAGCTGTATTAGATATTCTGTTGGAATCCGAAGAAGGGAGCGAGTGTCTCCATTTATTCAAGGAGTGAATTGGTTGACGATGAGGCAGAGGTGGTTGGTTCACATTTTATGTTTGGTTCATAGCATTTTATTGACCAAATACCCTATATACTTAAATAATAAGTTATCCTTGAGAAGTCAGCATCATGCAGCCAACCTCCGTTTCGTTGGTTACACCCTTAACACGCCCCATCATAGAACCACCCTATTTACTAAGAGTTTCTCTTTTGTTGCACCCAATCGCTATAATATGCTCCCTGTCAGCTTTAAAGTTTTATCTGTTCCACTTTTTAGGTCAAAAGTAAAAAAATTTGTTTTTGAAAATATGTCATAATACCTTATATTATTTAGTTTTTAACTTATGTAATGGTGTAACTGTTAACTGTGAATATATTATATGATTTTTTCTTTAAATTAAAAAAATGCCTATTTTTGGCATAATAGATTTTTCATTATTGTTACTCAACAATGTTTATGTCTCCCAGATTTTGTATTATGATTTTGTTTGGCCCTGGTTGGTATGAAAAACAGCTTTTAGCTGACACCCGCCAGGTTAAATAAAGGCTATTATTATTATTATTATTATTATAATCAATGCAAATCTTAATTAGCGTGTGTCTTGCAGGGATTATTTTCGATTTTTAAGAATTTTAACAGTAGCTTGTATTTACATGTATGAGTTATCAATATTTGTATATACAAATAAATTGAACCTCTACAATAACAAAGAAAAATATGATTATTAAAGTCGATCTGAAAATCTGTTGAACATCGTACCGCAACATATCAGAGATCTTTGAGTAACATGGGTTATGAGATATTCAATATTTTAAAAAAAGATATTCAAAACCAACATTGAGCAGTTTCAAAAATCAAGTTATTTCGAACAGATAAGTATTTTTACCGCTTGGAAGAGTTCTTTATATGTAAAACTGTTTTTTAATCGGTATCGTATTGTTTTTTTTACTTTTGATTTGTTCTAGTCTTTGGCTATTTAAGAATGAAATAAATATACTATTATTAAACGCAAAATACCTGGTCGTACACCTTGAAATATCTTGGTGTACAAGTAATGCACTCAGTGCAAAACATGTTACAATAATTTTCTCAGTTATTACAAGATTGTAGAAAAACTTTACTGGACAACAGGTAGCAAGAAAAAGTTCGTGAATAGTGCAAAAGTACATACCGGTGAAAAACGCTATCCACCAGATTGGAATGGTGTAACAAAAACTTAATTTAAGATTAACCGTGGCGGTCGGATCATCTTTGGTAGTTGGTAGATGGGAGAAATTCGGTGCAACCGGTTATCACCCTCTCCGACCTTAACCTTCTTTGGCGATGAAGACATAAAACCTACCCTACGAATGGCCTTTGAAGACAATAGCTGGCAACCGCGCAAACTTCTTCTCAGACCTCCGGGAACATCTGGAAGAGGAGCAGAGGACAGCTGAGAAAATGGCTCATAAAATCTTCCGTAGGGGGAAATTCTCTTTTTCTGTTTGAGCGGGCCTTGGCAGTAAGTATCGCCATTCATAACAACGTGAAAGATGGAAAAAGTAGGGTAACTGATTGCGATGGTAAATCGATCCCTAAATTTATCATCGCAATCGCGATTGTCACTGGAACAAAGAGATGAACATTTTTTTTAAATATTTTTTTCATAACAGAATTATTCGCACAGGATTAGATGGCGAATCAAGATATCAAGACGCTTTTTTACTGAAAACTCTTCATTAAAGGTATTTGTGTTTTCTGGATACAGTCACTACATTGCTTGCCATTCAAATAGCATCACGTAATACATCATACTTTCAGAGACTATACGTTTTTTGGCTTATCAGTTAATTGTTAATATACGTATATTAGTGAAGGTGCTTTTCTTTTTTTGTTACATCGACGAGCGCTTCCTCACGACTTTTCTTGACGTTTCTACATGGATGAACGGTGCTCAAGCTGACTCATCGTCGTCATGAACGCTCTCATCTTAAAGCACGATTTTTGTTTTACATCGTGGTAACATAGAGGTAGTGCCCAAGGGGGTTGCGAATACAGCATCGCAGTAAGCACCTTTACTATGAGCAAGAGTCTCTGAATCGACAAAAAACGGGGATGAACGGTTTTGATTTTTTTTTCATTCTTTGCCTCTATCTCCTCCGCTGCTGGATCTATTTTCAAAAACTACAAAGCTTTTTTGTTCTTGGCACGCCAGCAACCGTCTGTCAAAGTTTCATTAAAATCCGAGCGGTACTTTCCAATTTTAAGACGGATCAAGGATTAGCAGACAGACGGACTGAGAGACTGACAGAAATGAGCGAAATCGTTTTTCATAATATGTATCTCATTTACTTTTCAAGATCTGGCATCTGGTTTGCGACTAATATACAGGGTGTTCCTTAATGATAAGCGGATATGTCAGGGTGGGAATCTGCATGAAAAATTAAGACTAGTTTGCTTTATAAACTATGGTCCAAAAATGTTTCCTTACAAAAACTCGGGGTGTTGAAGTTTTAGGAAAAAAATGGAAATTAATTAATATTTTCAGAACGGCTTCAGTTATTTCACTGATATTTAGTACGTAGTGGAAGTTAATAAAGTTGCATATTTTTCAATACAAAAATAATTTTTAGCTTCCACAGTGGTGTTCGTACGGGTATTGACTTCGACATTTTTTAAGAAAAAAATGGTACGTCAATGGTTTTTTGCCAAACAAAAATTGTTTTTGAAACAAATGATCTGTCTTGAATTGCTTTCCTTCGACGCGCCATTTTTGAGTAAAAAAATAAAAACCATTTTATTGTCCGAGAAAATTAATGTAATAATTGAAGAATGCAATTTAGCAATAAATATCAAGTTGCTCTGGAATATGTCACTGGCTTTTGACATCTGACAAGTCTCTGTTATTCAAATTTGTTCGCTGTGACATCTTTTTCATTATTTAGTTTTTACAATCTTGTTAATAATGGTGAATTATTCAAATGCAGAAAAGGCGGAAATGCATTACGTATATGGCCTTGCCGACTGTAATGGTGAGCAAGCCAGACAGATTTAACACCAGAGATATTCCGATCGTGCTTTACCAGATAGTCGAACCTTTTCTAATATTCTTCGTCGTATTCTTGAGACTGGTTCTGTCCGAGAAGGAACATCTGAAGGTAGATCTCTAAGTGTGAGAACACCTGAAATTGAGGAAGCAGTGCTGTACGAAGTCTAAGAACGGGTACGAGAAAGATCGCTAGACACTTAAATATTTTCCATCAAATTGTTTGGAGAATATTAGTCGATTTTTTGTTATATTCTTACCATATTTTAAGAGTACAGGCATTACTTCCCATTGATTTTCCAAGGCGTGCGACTTTTTATCAGTGGTATCTTCAAAAAATTACACAAAATTCGCAATTTGAATCAATGATTCTGTTCACGGACGAAGCTAATTTTTCTCGAAATGCCATTCAGAATTTCCACAATAATCATTTGTGGGCAGAAGAAAATCACTATGCCGTA